ATATTTTTGTACATCCAACCATAAAAATGTTTGTAGAGAAAAGTTCTCAGGATATAACTAAGTTTTATATTTGATTGGCTAGATATCATTACTTGTATATCACATGGTAACATAACTTTTTCAGTACACAGTAACTAACACTTCAGGGGATGTATTCTGATGGGGAGTTGTATAAAAATGTTTTAAAATTTTGTTTTACAATTTTAAATATTATCTATTCATTATCAATGGCATATAAAACATTCTATATTTTCCTAGGTCCTGGTGCACCATACGGTCACCCACCTCATGGTGCACCGCCGCCAAATCAAGGCCCACCACCTCCAGGGGCTAGGCAACCTTATGGCAGGCCTCCACAGGTAAAAATGCATTAAAATATATAATACTATGCTTTCAAATTGTCGAATTCCAAAACGATTTAGAAATGGAAAAATTAAGATAAACAATTTCTTGTCACTTATATGGATTGCATTGTGTATGCCTGTATTATATCATACAACAATTTCAAAATGTTTTTCTAACGTCTCTGTTCACGCGTACGAAGTTTTTAGTAGTGCCGTTTTGTATCTTTTTAAAGTCAATTTAGCCTATTATAACATGTAGTTTAGTAAGAGTAGAATTTATTATGAGCTATCAAAGTTCATTGCTGAACGTGGACCTCCCCGCATATTGCCTCATAAACAGGGATATTCGCCATAGTTGTCACACTTGGTTGGCAACTGATGTTTTTTTATTTTCTTGTTGTTGTTAGGAATATGTTGCTGTCCATCTCTTGATTTGTTTCCGTTTGTTGTCTCTTACGCGACACTCACGTGACTATAAGGAGTAATAGATATTCCTACACAGCTACCACGCGATCAAGTAAGAATAGAATAGAATTGAATATTTTTTTACCATATAGATTATTAAATAATACTTTTAAAGGTTATTTTTGTACTTTAACCACTGCTTTTTCTAAAAAAAAACTTGTCCTGTTAAGAACCTTATTTATAAGAAATGTACACAATTATTGTACATATTTTCAAGGAGTAGTCAAATTTTAAGTTTAAGTTCAAATATGTAAATAATGATATACTGCTATTGCAGTTTTTGAAAATACGAGTAAAGCTGAACGCACATTTGGCCGCGTCCTACTCGCCGAATTTTAGAATTCGATGTATGAAATCCACTGACCTCTATATATACTGAAATCATATTATGAAACCTCGCACTTTACACCCGAACCGTACGCTCCGACTTTTATAAAATGCGGTTATATAACGCGGCGCATTCGGCGCGTGCCAACTTAGTGGATTTTCCACTATAACTGGTGGTTCGACTTTGTGATAATTTCAGTATTTTTATAGCTTTTAATTAATTCGTAATAAATTATACATAATTTGAATTTTTTTTGCGTCGAATATCAATATGAATACGTAGTGATAAATTATTTAAATACTGAACTAAAAAAATAGTTAAATTTATATCAAATACCTAATTATACCTTTTAAATAAAACTAATTTTACGGATTACCAATTATACTAATTATAGCTGATTACTTAATTATCAATAAAAATACTTACCTCAAACATACAAGTCTTTTCGCTGGTTTCAATTGGCCTTCTAAATCTTAAGTTTTCCATAGGAAGATATGGTTTTAGTATATGTAGCAATTCTCGAAATTTCGTATATGCTAACCATTCAGGCCCCGACATTTTATTGGATCTGACTGAGTTTGAGATTTTTTAAATTAATTTTTCTTCACCATTTGCCTATATTAATTATTCTGAACCATCTCTGCAAATTTGGCCGGTTATTGCAAAATAACCCTGTATAAATCCTTTGCCAGCTATACAAATTGGCCCTAATGTTGGTACCAATGTTGGTTCGCTAATTTGCTAGGCAAGCACACGTTGGCCATTATACTAGTTGATAATATGTTATGTCCGTGCAGAGCTACGGTAGCGGCGGCGAGGCACGCGCGCACCACGCGGCACCACCGCTGGCGCACGGCGCGCACCCGGCGCACGCGGCGCACCCGGCGCACGTGGCGCTCGCGCACGCGCCGCACGCGCACGCGCCGCTGCCCGCCATCAGCGAGGCGGAGTTCGAGGAGGTGATGGGCCGCAACCGCACCGTGTCCTCCAGCGCCATCGCGCGCGCCGTCAGCGACGCCGCCGCCGGCGAGTACGCCTCCGCCATCGAGACGCTCGTCACCGCCATCTCGCTCATCAAGCAGAGCAAGGTCATTAAACTCTTCTTTTAGCCCGTATCAGAGCACTGCTCGACATGTGTCTCGTCCGTTATAGGGTACACCTTAAACGTTACGCTCACCAGGCGGCTTGCTGCCTAGCAAGGTTTGACTACCTAATCGACGTAAATGAGTCTGAAGCCATAATATCAAAATTAAGCCAACCATAATTCAAACCTATTAACTACCACTATGCAGTAAAGTGTGTACTTACATAAATAAAATAAATCAGCCAAATTTGTTAATTAACCTCAGAGGTATCGCAATATATATATATATATAATTACAAATTTGCATCACATCATTTAAATCTCGGATAGTATTACGTGATAAAACACCTTTCTGTGTTTAGAACTTCGTCACGTATTATACTCATACTTATTTCTACTGTCAAACAATGCTTGCACTGATGTGAATCAGTTTAAAAGATATGATGTGTAATTACGGGTTGTGAGACAATGTAATAATAATAAATCAACAATGGAAAATCTTAGTCCTCATTTGTACAATGTGGTATCTGTAGGTTTTTGTTTGTACCTAATACCTATAGATATGTACTGCAATAGCCAATAAACATCAAGTGTATTCGTTTGCCATTTTTCTTCTATTTAAATTTAAGTACTATGTTGTTTTTTGAAGCCACTGTATGTTTTGTTTCAGGTAGCGCACGATGACCGGTGCAAGATCCTGATCTCGTCACTGCAGGACACGCTGCACGGCGTGGAGACGAAGTCGTATGGCGGCGAGCGGCGGCGCTCGCGGTCGCGGGAACGCGACGCGCGCTCGCACCACCGCGCGCCGCGCCGCCGCGACCGCTCCGCCTCGCGCTACCGCGACCGCAGCCGCGACCGCGACGACCGCGACAGGTGAGACAGCACGCGCCACACTGCACACCGCACACACCAGGCAGCACCGCCTCGCGCTACCGCGACCGCAGCCGCGACCGCGACGACCGCGACAGGTGAGACAGCACGCGCCACACTGCACACCGCACACACCAGGCAGCACCGCCTCGCGCTACCGCGACCGCAGCCGCGACCGCGACGACCGCGACAGGTGAGACAGCACGCGCCACACTGCACACCGCACACACCAGGCAGCACCGCCTCGCGCTACCGCGACCGCAGCCGCGACCGCGACGACCGCGACAGGTGAGACAGCACGCGCCACACTGCACACCGCACACACCAGGCAGCACCGCCTCGCGCTACCGCGACCGCAGCCGCGACCGCGACGACCGCGACAGGTGAGACAGCACGCGCCACACTGCACACCGCACACACCAGGCAGCACCGCCTCGCGCTACCGCGACCGCAGCCGCGACCGCGACGACCGCGACAGGTGAGACAGCACGCGCCACACTGCACACCGCACACACCAGGCAGCACCGCCTCGCGCTACCGCGACCGCAGCCGCGACCGCGACGACCGCGACAGGTGAGACAGCACGCGCCACACTGCACACCGCACACACCAGGCAGCACCGCCTCGCGCTACCGCGACCGCAGCCGCGACCGCGACGACCGCGACAGGTGAGACAGCACGCGCCACACTGCACACCGCACACACCAGGCAGCACCGCCTCGCGCTACCGCGACCGCAGCCGCGACCGCGACGACCGCGACAGGTGAGACAGCACGCGCCACATCACGCACTGCTATATACATAGCTACATAGCTACTAGATCGGCTGAAACAAAAACTCTCACAGCTGTCGATCGCGAGGGTAGCTCGCACGGTAAATATTCCATGATGTAGTATTTTTGTTTTTCGACGTTGACTAGCGTCTAATGGCAGCTTAACACTGTTGTGTTAGTATAATGAGTGTAGAGAGAACCGGATACCCATTTTACTAAAATCAAGTTTCACAATTCAACATCTAAGAAATACCTTTTGATGTTTCAATTTTCTAAACAAGGCAATAAAAATTTATTCAATCACATAGAAAAAAAGCGTTTAAAGGTTCAAAGACAGTTAAACTTATTATCGTGATAGCCATATGTGGAAATAATAATAATATTTCACCATTTGCAATGAATACCCTCTGTAAAACATTAGAGATTATTCTCTTCTGAAGAACGTATGATGCCATTCATTGTTCTTATTTAAATAATTGATTTGTTCAAAATGAGTGCTTTATTGCAGGTATAGGGATTCGAGGGTTTCGAGGGATCGCGATCGCGATCGCGACAAAGATGCGTAAGTGTCTAGGGTTGACACCTTATCATAGATCCAGTGCAAAAGATCCAAATACCAAAATGAGCAAAACAATTCTACAAACATTGTTTGTATTAAAATGTATAATAAATTTATTTGTGCATCATTGTTATAATTCATTTTCCTTGGGTGTATAAAAAAAGTACTCATTCATAAATTCTATTCCGGCAATCACCACTACCCATGAATCATGTATAATATACACATACCACTTTTTAATGCCCCCAACTATCTGCATCATATTGTAATATAACATTAAGTGTTTGTCTACCCCACTTTATCAACTATGTATGTCCTACAATTAAAAAAAATCTATTTGAAAATCTTATTTCTTTGTTACAGATACTACCGGGACTACCGTGAACGTGAACGTGATCGCTCCAGGTCACGTGACAGAGATCGTACCGACCATTACAATAGAGGACATAGTCGCGAGGAAAGGTAGGAATATGGTAGTCCATTCAAAGGACCACATCAAGGAATAATCAATGATTTATGTTTTAAGTTTTATGACTGAGAAAATTAAAAGATAAAATAGGCCGAAGAGTATCGGCGGTATAGATTATCCACTATCCCATATTATATTGTGGGTATCGGGCCACAGAAAATCGGCAGCAGCATCTTCCTAATAACAATTAGAAAATAAAGAATGAGAAGAAGATGTTTCTCCTTGTGAAATTTATGTATGTAAACTAAAAACCCCCACGATACAGGAGAAAATTCTAGTGTGGAGGTAACGTTAAAAAAAAAGAAACTGGTTGCCAATCGTCAAGTATGGCAAATAACCCTTTTTCAACCGCTTTTAAAAAGGAGGAGGCTTTTTTTTATGTATGTTCACCGATTACTCGAAGACGCCTGAACCGATTTGGAAAATTCTTTTTTGTTTCAATGGGTATACTTAACTGCTAAAGTTAAAATTAAAATTACTAAAAATTAAAATTACTAAACCGCGATTAGCGGTTTAGTAATTTTAATAGCGGTTTAGCGGTTTTCAGAAAATAAACAACAAATTTTTCATATTGAAGTCAGTTGTACAAAAACATTAATTTTACCACTTGTTTATATGAGGCAATTTATGGAGAGGGCCTATATTCAACAGTAAACTTTGATAGAATTAATGAAAAGCCGACTTTAAAGAATCAGAAATAATAAAATAATATTCACATAATTTTATCGCTTTTGAAATCAGTGCTAAGACATACTTGTAGTGGAAGATGGATTATTTTTGTATGGTTCTTTAAAATACACATAAATAATTCATACTTTAATTTAAAACAATTTTTTGACACTTGAATGGGAATATCACAAACTAAAGGTAACAACTAAAATGTTGCCTACATAGTTACAATAAAAACATAATCCATTATGGCTTCTTATTTTCTATAATTTCCTAACTTCTAAAAAAATATATATGGAACCACCCATTCAGGGTTAAGTAACTGTTTAATAAAAAAATAATCATTAAAATCTCTTCACCGTTGACGAAAGATGTAGTAAAAAGAAGCAATCTATCGAATTTAGAACGTTTTCCTTTTTTGAAATCGGTTAATAATGATTAACCCTTTCCCTGTTGCGTATAAAATTATATCGGCAGTTTTTTTTTGTTTGGTACTAGGGCGGAATTCGTTGATGTACGGACAACAAATTAAACTAGTTTCAAATTTTAGGCCTCGAAAATCGCCTGTGGAGCCGACCGCTGAGAGTGGTGCGGGCGATGCCAGTGGAACCAAGAGTCGGTCTGCTACCGCGCCGTACTACGAGGAGCGCTACCGAGAGCGCAGAGACCGCGACCCGCCGCCGGCAGACCGAGACCGAGACCGCGACCGGGACCATCGCCGCGACGCACGTCACTAGCGACGCAGAGACTTTGATTTAAACCAAACGCATTTCCAGCGTGGCTTTTTGTCGGTGTTGAGAACATCCAATATAGTGTCATCAAGAGATTTTGTGGGTAGGATCTTCAAAGTAAATTTACATAGATAACTACAGAATGTTTTGCAACCTATATTGTGAGTTTGACTATGTGAAGATTTCTATAGAATTAATTAGTGTGTTACACCAAGCTTACCGGATTCTTGTAATTACCATGAATATCATAGAGCTTCAGTGTTGTGTATGTAAGGTTTCTTTTTTATGCCCATTATCTTTATATTTTGTTCTCCAGTACCACACATGCTTTATTTAAGCAGCATATACTTGATCTCAATTTCATTTCAACATTCAAACTAATTTATGATTTTAATTGAAACTGAATTGACTTCCCTCAAATAGCATTTTTGTAAAATAAATTCTTAGAGGTCCAAAGACAACAGGTTGTTACTTAGCATTCTTTCATTTATACATTTCTCTCAATAAAGTTTCCTTTGTTTATTTCAATGTTGGTTTTCAAATGTATGTACTGATGTGGGAGTAAAGTGATTCCTTGTGAATGTATTAGAAAAGTGATGTCTAGGCAGACTGTTTCTTAATACTCAATACATTATGTATTGAGTATTACCTTTATGGAGTAAAGTCCTATATAGAAGTATTTTTATATTAAATTGTTATTTTCCATGCAATAACAATTAAATACTATATAATATGTAAAAAATTCTGTTTGATCCAATTGTTTCTAAGTCTAACTACTGTGTTACCAGATTTTAAAAATTTACTCAATTTAAATATTTTCCACGGTAACATTTTTATATTCATTATATTTTTTTTTGGTAATGACATTGCGGTACCTATGTACTCTTACGGATCGGACAGAGTATTTTGAAAACAATATTGTATTTTAAACAATCTGTCATGCTTGTTTTGGGTATTTTGGCTCTTATTCCAAATAACATTACAACCAACATAATTAATATACACATTTTTTCGGTACGTAATATACGCGTTCATATAAAAAGTATTTTTAAAATTTAGTATGGCACTGAGATAAAACGAAAATTTCGAAATAATTCTTTAACAAATTGTTAATTAATTTACTAGCACATTCTAATGTACGTTTTTCGTTTTTAATCTTATAATTTTCTCTTTGAGAGGGATGGAATAATATTTTTAAGTATAGCCAACTTATTTGTCTTTATATTAAAATAAAATTTTGTTTTAATATTAGTTGAGTACATAAGATCAACAAATATCTGTAGCGAGAATGGAATCGTATGACATTCCAGAATTGACAGCGCTGGAAAGTAATGCTTTGCAAAAAACAGATTTTGAATCCACAAACTTTCCTATTGATGTTTTATATTGTTCAATAGGAATTCAGTTGTAATTAGGTTATAGTTAATAGACTAAGTTTTTCGTGTATGGACTACTCCATATCGATATTAGATTATGACACTTAAGGGTTTAAATTGCTAAATAAATAATTGATGGATATTTATTGATGTTTCATTTAATGTCATGTCAATAGTAGATATTTAATAAAAAGCGTAAGTAACGTTATAACATGTAATTGACATATAAACCTGTTCAGACTATGTATTTTCATCAGCCCATAATAGGGCCACTGCTGGATATAGATCTCTCTTTCATATAAGAGAGGTTTTGTCGTTTCATTTACTATTTGATGATCGCCAGTTTGGCAGGTAGACTGGCGATCGCAATACCAGAGGGTCCACAAATTTAACATCGTTTCTCGTCTGTTTTAAATTGGTACTTAAAAAAAGTGGTTATAAAACAATACTACCAGTGCGGTTAACCGATTTGTAAGGGGCGATCGGTAGGCAAAAACGTTGTCCATAAATCAAAGTAAGAGCAGACGCCTTATTTAAAATTTGGCTACTCTGAAAAATAAATATATATATATTCGCGCATCATATTCAAACTACTGAATATGTTTGCAAGGAATTAGGCATATTTGTTGTTTATACTGGATTAAGCATTAGGATAAGTTTTATCCCGAAAAACCATAGTATAGACAGAATTTCGCTTTTATAATATTAGTACGGATTATCATAATTGTTTTACTTTTACAGATTTCCAAAAGGCCCTCACTTAAAAATGAGGTGGCCACAATGTGCAATTGAAAAAGGGGTTTGGAACCTACCCGCACAAGTACTATCTGTTCGATGCAGTTTGTTTTACCAACATTACTGTTAGCAGATACTGTAAGCAACCCACTTCCACCAATTTTTGTTTTGGTACCTAGAGCCTTTTTTAAGGGTTCCGTACACAAAGGGTAACCAACGGGACCCTATTACTAAGCCTCCGCTGTCCGTCCGTCTGTCAGCGGGCTGTATCTCATGATGCGTAATATGTAGACAGTAGAAATTTTCACAAAATATGTATTTCTGTTGCCGCTATAACAACAAATAATAAAATAAAAATAAATAAAAAATTAAAGGGGGCTCCCCTACTAGAAACGTGTTTTTTACCTACATATAATTAAATCTTGTACGATCGTACGGAAACCTTCATACCTGAGTCCGAATCGCACTAGGCCGATTTTTTTTCAAGTGTCTTCGTAAAAGAACATATAGCTGACTTAAAGTACTGACGGTTCGGGAAGTCTGTAGTTTGTGAACATGTTCAAGATCATCCCCGCCGTTGCATTAGATTTGATAGACCATAAATCCTGCTTACTTCAATAGAGAAGATGGATGGGTGCTGCCATCTGCTTGGGATCCTACAATTAATAAAATTGAACTGCACTGCAAGACTTCAAGATACTCATTCTGTGTAGTTTGGACCAAAAATTAATATTCAAAAACTGAAGGTAGCCGGGCTAACTATGACATCGGGTCGTCAAACACTTCAGTCCCCCTCGTGACCGTGGGTGCTGTAAAGCACCCGAAACGTCGGGAATTAAAAAGTTAATTAAACGCGATAGAATCCGTAAAAATTAGTTTCATTTAAAGTTTGATTATATATATATACATAATATGTATTACATAATGTAATACAGAATTACATAATTCTATTCAAATATTTTCCCATTAATAGAAAATTTCCAATTAGGTAAACAATATAACGTTTTAATATAGTAACGTTATACAGTTATTAGCGGGTTTTCGCTATTTGTATTGTGTATGTTGACGGTACGAGCTCGATGAGCCGCCATTTCTAATCCCATTCTTCATCCGTACGGACTACGGACTATAGAATAATTTTTATCCCATGTAGATTAAAAATAATACTTATTGGAGGCCATTTCTTCTTTTTTTTTGGTATTGGTACTAGCTGTTCCCCGCGACTTCGTTCGCGTGTAATTTAGATTTTTAAGTTTTTTTTTTTTGCGTGGAACTCTAATTCTTTTTCTTAAATAAAAGTAGCTTAAGTTACTCCTTGTAACATCAGCTGTCTGCCAGTGAAAGTCCCATCAAAATCGGTCCAGGCGTTTCGGAGATTAGCCGGAACAAACAGACAGACAGATATAAATTTAAAAAATTGTGTTTTTGTTATAAGTACCGTATATAATTTCATATGCATTTAGTGAACACATGTTATTTTGACATTACAAACAGACACTCCAATTTTATTTATTTATACCTATAGATGGTTGAACCTGCGCTAGGAAGAATATGTTTTATTCACTAAAATTTCTTGAATAAGATAGATTGGGCGGAGATAAAAAGTTCCTAGGTGTTCAAATGACAAGCTCGTGGAAACTCTTCATGCGGTCGGAGCTAAGTTCTGCAAGACCTGCCGCAGAAGGACACAAAAACTCCGATCACACTCTCATTCTCATGGCTGTTAGACGGGAGATGAAGCTACATTCTTCAACAGATTTAACAGCATACAGGCAACTGAACAGACAGATCTCCAAATGCATGCGGCGGGACTTACGCAACTTCAATACAGCTTGTATTGAAGAAGCGATCGAGCGGAACCAAGGCTCCAAAGTCTTTGCCAGAGATCTGTCTGCCAGAAAGAGCCAACTGTCAAAGCTGAAGACCGAGTGTGGCAGCATCGTTTCCGGGACACCTGAGATTTTGAGTGAGATTGAGAGGTTCTATGGGCAGCTGTACACGTCGTCGTTGGAGCCACACGCAAGTGTGAGTAACGATCCAAGAGCGAGTCTTATCCGACACTATTCCGAAAATATCTCGGACGTCAGTCTGAGCGAGATTAGAATGGCTCTCCAGCACCTTAAAAACGGCAAGGCCCCAGGCGAGGATGGAATAACAGCGGAGCTTCTGAAAGCGGGTGGAAGACCGGTACTTGAAGTCCTTCAGAAGCTCTTTAATTCCGTCCTCCATGGTGGCATTACACCGGAGGCGTGGAGCAGAAGTGCGTTGGTCTTGTTCTTCAAGAAAGGTGACAACGCTCTCTTGAAGAACTACAGACCGATTTCCCTTCTGAGCCGCGTCTACGTGCTGTTTTCGAGAGTCATTACGAATCGTCTCGCGCGCAGACTTGATGACTTCCAGCCTCCCGAACAAGCCGGTTTCCGAAAGGGCTTTAGCACCACATACATATCCTTCGGCAAATTGTACAGAAGTCCGAAGAGTACAATTTGCCACTATGACCGGCGTATGTGTACCATGAGAAAGCCTTTGATTCCGTCGAAATTTGGGCGGTGCTGCAGTTCCTTGAGCGATGCCAAGTTGACTGTCGGTATATCGAAGTGCTGAAGTGTTTGTACAGTAGAGCTACGATGGCTATCCGAGTACAGAACCAGAGTACGAAACCTATCCAATTGCAGAGAGGTGTAAGACAGGGTGACGTTATATCCCCGAAACTTCACCGCTGCATTGGAAGACGTTTTCAAGCTTCTGGACTGGAAAGGATACGGTATCAACATCAATGGCGAGTACATCACTCACCTTCGATTTGCCAACGATATAGTCCTTATGGCAGAATCGCTGGAGGACCTAAGCACTATGCTCAATGACCCCAATAGTGCTTCCCAACGGATAGGTCTTAAGATGAACATGGACAAAACAAAGATCATGTTTAATGTCCATGTCACACCTATGCCGGTAGTTGTTGGGAGCACTAAGCTCGAAGTTGTTGATGAGTATGTTTACCTGGGACAAATAGTCCGACTAGGTAAGCCCAACTTCGACCGAGAGGTCAATCGACGGATTCAACTCGGTTGGGCAGCGTTCGGGAAATTACGGCACATCTTCTCGTCAGACATACCTCAAAACCTTAAAACGAAATTGTACAACCAGTGCGTGTGGCCAGTGATGACTTACGGATCTGAGACGTGGTCCTTCACTGCTGGCCGTATGAGGAAGCTCAAGGTCGCTCAGCGAGCTATGGAGAGGGCTATGCTCGTGGTTTCTCTGCTTGATAAACTTAGAAATGAGTATATCCGCAGTAGAACCAGAGTAAAATATCCCGTTAATATATAAAGGTTGACGGCCATACGCAATTGTGGCAGCCTTCGCTAGGGTCACGTAGACTAAGTTCTTCATGTGACCCCAAACATAAAAGTCTAGTGGCGTCAGATCAGGACTTCGTGCAGGCCATGGAATTGGCCGTCCCCTCCCTATCCACCTTTTTTTTTATATGATAAGGGTGACAAACGAGCACACAGTCCACCTGATGGTAAGTGGTTGCTGCTCTGCGTTTCGCTTGGTGAGTGCAGGCCGGCCACCTGCACTCACCAAGCGAAACGCAGAGGTAAACCTCTACTTCACGCTGGTATTCTGTGAGGTCGTGGTACCACCCCGGTTCAAGCCGGCCCATCCGTGCGACAGCAAAAGCCGCCACGTGGCTCTACCACTCTACACCTGTTTGGGTATTGACTATTTAGCCACTGTCGTACAGATAACCGGAAGTCAGCTGGATAGCCGTCATGCTGATAAATCAATTTACTTTTAATTGCTTCTGGAACATCTACTAATAAGTTTTCCAAATCATTTCGCAAAAATTTTCGTAATTTTCCCCGTTTAAATTTTGTGGCATAAAATAAGGCTCAATAAGTTATTCATTTTCAATACCCATCCACACATTCAAAGAAAATCTGCGCTGTGACATTGTTTCTTTAATTTTTTTTGGATTTTTGACCACTTTCAGCGTCCAGTGATGAAGATTATGGTAGTTTGTAATACCATCTCGGTCAAATTTGGCTTCGGCATTCAGCATGAAACGACAAAACTGGAGTCTACCCGCTGGATCGCCCTCGTACAGCGTTTGTACCGGTTGGTAATGGTACGGATGTCGGCGGGACAGGTGCACCACCAACCATACCTTCCACTCTGACATACCGTACCGGGGTGCTACAATGTTCGTTGAGACATTAGGGTCTTTCGAGGGTCGTCAGTAAAATGTTGCATAATTGTTTCTTCATCGTCAGTCGTAAAACGTCGTGGTCTGCCAGTATTCGCTTTATTTCTGTGAACAGTGCCGCTTTCACTTAATTATCGATAGGTAGCTCCGAAGACAGAAACGTGGGGAAGCCGGCGATCAGGAAAGCGACACTGATATTCTCTACGAGACCCCGCAGCGTTGTCGTCAGCAAAATCATAACAGTGCATGATGTCGGCATATTCTTTATTAGAATATGACTCCATTTTAACTTCAACGCACAAAAACAGTAACAATGAATTCAATGAAAACAACAGTAACAGATAATGGTAACAGCAAATAACAATAACGATAACGACTGAAAACAATAACAAATGAATTAACGCGATGAGAGTTTATTAAACGGAAGTTAAAACACGTGCTTGCGCAGCGATAGTCGAAACCACAGATTACCCCCGTCGAAACTAACGAACGTCGCTACGACTCAATTTATAATGGCCGTCTGCTTTCTGAATAGTTGTGAACAACCAATCAGACGCCAAGTGACTAAAAGTGTACAAGTTCGTTCCTAAGAGCAATCATTCTTTGCCGTTCTCTACCTGCGTTAAGTAAAAGACCCTTTTGTTATTTTAATTCATTGACTTCACCGGAATATTATTACCTTTTTGGATAGCTGATTAAATGGGCATATTTTTTTTAAATATTATTATGTCTCATGTCATAGTAATTTTTTGAAGTAACATACATAACATGTTATGATACATATGCTTAGTGTAAAGAAAAATATTTTTTTTTATTAAGACCCATAATTTTTATTGTGAATACTTTTTGTACTTTTAATGATTGTATTCGCTTGGTTGAAGCTTCAAGAAAATAAATAAACTTAAAAGAATGCATACAAAAAAAGATTTTATTTTTATTTAGATTTAATACAAAATCTTTAAAATCCGTATATCTCAAGACCTGTTCATTTTCGGCCATACATATGGGGGGGTCAAATTTGTAGCATTTTGACTCCCCTATCACGCCCTACCAGGAAGTTGTCGAGTTCACAGTACCCTGTATAATCGAAGAGGAAGATTATGTGGTTAAAGAAACTTTATTTC